TAAAAGTTGGGAGATCACACATCCCTGTGTCACACCTATGTTGACTGAAAATATCTGATATGCCTTCTTGTGTTTTTATTGCACTTTGGCTTGTGTGGTACATGGCTATGATGTTCTCTAGTAGCTGTCCTTGTATCCGGTAGTTTCTTTTCAGAACAGACCACAGTTTGTTCTAATCCACCTCTATCAAAGCCTTTTTCCTGAATCTCAAACACAATATTCTGTTTGGTATTATACTCAATGGCTTTCTCACACATTTGCCTCAGAATGAATAATGTATCTTTGCATCCTCTGCCTGATGCATTATTTACTCTGAGGCTGTGATGTGTGAAATTCATTATTGAGATTTTTGATGGAGGTGATCAGGTAAAAATATCTCCAACAAACAAATCTTTAAACACTAAATAATGACAATGCATGAATAAAACGCTACATTGGTTGTGGATTGTTAAAAAAAAAGAACTTTCTTTATTAAGCATTTTATTTTAATTACTCATAAAAGTTCTGAAAATGTAGCCATAATTTGTGTAAATGCCCTACCATAGATGGATAGGGGAAAAATATTTTTTTTTTAATTTTGTAATCAGATCATATTATGAAATGCAGTCAATAGTCAGTATTTTAATTTTTAAAGAAATCAAATTTATGCTTCCTGCTACTAAATTACTAACATGTAGTTGTTGAGTTGAGTCAAGAATTGACATTACAGTACTCGGGGCATTCCCATGCATGCTCCTTCCTCATCTTCAGCAGCCAGCGCAGATTTCCAATACTGATGTTACCGGTCACAATCTGGTTATATGTCCGTCTTGACTTTCCTCTGAGTGTAGTGAGCCGGCCGACCCGCTGGTTACTCCCAGGTGCCTCATTCTCTCCAGGCCATAATAATCTTCTTTCTCTACTGATTCTGTTGCTTGTTCTCAAAGGGCCTTGACCATATCTGCCTTGTCATGTATCAATTCACCACCCAGTGGTACAGATCCAGCCAATCTGTCTGCCTGTTCATTATCCACCATGCCGGCTTAGCCTGGAGAAAAGATCTAAAGTATGCTACTAGCATGTAATGATTTAATGTAATCAGTACTAGCAAGTCATGATTTAATGTAATTGTTACTAGCATGTAATGATTTATTGGCTCTCCTTTAAATAACGGTCGCTAGCTGGAAGGCGACGGTCGCTTAGTCAGAGTTCACTCCCTTGGCTGCAGTGCAAATACGGAGTGGACAAGTCACGAATCAAAAACATGGTTGAAGTAGACGAGAGCTACTTCCTCCGACGAAAGTATCAGCGTGGTCGCATCCGTCACGGTCGTGGGTCGTAGGGCTAGTAGAGCGCGAGACAGGCCATTGCTACTTTGAGGTTGTGCGAAGACAAGATGCAACAACACTGGAGAGAATCATAACAGATCACGTCCTGCCGGGAACGACGATCGTGACTGACGCTTGGCGAGGCTACAGCAACGTCGCAAACTTAAGGCATGGCATCTATCTGCACGAGTTTGTCATCCACCAGACCAACTTCGTTGACGTCGTGCACAGAGACATACACATCCAAACAATTGAAGTACTGTGGATGCTACTCAAATGGACAATTCGCCATCAATTGGGCACTAGCCACACGCTATTGCCGTCATATTTAGGAGAATTCCAGTGGCGCCACTCCCACAAGCAGCACATTGTCGGCCATTCTTGGCACTCCTGCGTCAAAATTTTCACATCTAACCCAAACCCTACCCCTAACCCAAACCTTACCCCTAACCCAAACCCTAACCCTACCCCAAACCCTAAGCCTAGCCTAACCCTAAGCAACCGTAGGATGACAGGTAAGTGTCATTTGTTTCGTTCCCTCTTTACCACTCCGTATTTGCACTGCAGCCAAGGGAGTGAATTCCGACTAAGCGACCGTCGCCTTCCAGCTAGCGACCGTTATTTAAAGGAGAGCCGAAAGCCGATTTATTAATTATAAAGTAGAAGCAGGTCATATGTTTGTCTGGTGCAGACAGGCTGTATTTGAAGCAAAATGGTGATGTCACTAAAAAAAACATTTACCATATTTGTGTAAAAATAAATGCAGAATTTTTGAACAATCCTGAAATTACTGTAACCTTGCAATTTAGCTGCCATTTATGAACTTATTTGCTGTCAAATACATGGCTTGCTGCAAAAAAAAATAAGATTTATCATTTGGGTAACAAAATCATGTTATGTCACAGCCTGGCATCTATGCATCTTTTGACACTTCTACAACAGGCATCCTGGATCATTTTCACTGATTTTATGCTGGATGTGCTTCTGTAATAAAGTATAAAAAAAAAAAAGGTCCATTTTCCACTCCTATTAGGAGTATTACACTGGACCTGGTACCCACTCAAGGCTGGGTCGTCCTGGGGGTCAAGTCATGTTTGAAAAAAGTCCAGCTCCGTCATTAAGTGAATCCACAACCTTCTAATCCTCAAGCGCCACGGCAACTCCTGTTGTGCTTCTTTCTATAGGTCATTGAGTGAATCCACAACCTTCCAATCCGCCAGCGCCACGGCAACTCCTGTTGTGCTTCTTATAGGTCATTGAGTGAATTCCACAAACTTCCAATCCGCCAAAGGCAATGCGCCACGGGCAACTCCTGTTATGCTTCTTTCTATAGTCATTGAGTGAATGCACACCTTCCAATCCGCCAGCGCCACGGCAACTCCTGTTTGTGCTTCTTTCTATAGAGTCATTGAGTGAATGCACAACCTTTCCAATCCGCCAGCGCCACGGCAACTCCTGTTTGTGCTTCTTTCTATAGGTCATTGAGTGAATCCACAACCTTCCAATCCGCCAGCGCCCACAGCAACTCCTGTTGTGCTTCTTTCTATAGGTCATTGAGTAAATCCACAAACCTTCCATCCGCCAGCTCGCCACGGCAACTCCTGTTGTGCTTCTATAGGTCATTGAGTAAATCCACAAACCTTCCAATCTGCCAGCGCCACGACAACTCCTTTTGTGCTTCTCTAGGTCATTGAGTGAATCCACAACCTTCCAATCCGCCAGTCGCCACGGCAACTCCTGTTGTGCTTCTTTCTATAGGTCATTGAGTGAATCCACAACCTTCCAATCCACCAGCGCCACGACCAACTCGTTTTTGTGCTTCTATAGGTCATTGAGTGAATCCACAAACCTTCCAATCCGCCAGCGCCACTGCAACTCCTGTTTGTGCTTCTATAGTCATTGAGTGAATCCACCACCTTTCCAATCCGCCAGCGCCACGGCAACTCCTGTTGTGCTTCTATAGGTCATTGAGTGAATCCACAACCTTCCAATCCGCCAGCGCCACGGCAACTCCTGGTTATGCTTCTACAAGGTCATTGAGTGAATCCACAACTTCCAATCCGCCAGCGCCACGGCACTCCTGTTGTGCTTCTATAGGTCATTGAGTGAATCCACAACCTTCCAATCCACCAGCGCCACGGCAACTCCTGTTATGCTTCTATAGGTCATTGAGTGAATCTACAACCTTCCAATCCACCAGCGCCACGGCAACTCCTGTTGTGCTTCTATAGGTCATTGAGTGAATCCACAACCTTCCAATCCACCAGCGCCACGGCAACTCCTGTTATGCTTCTATAGGTCATTGAGTGAATCCACAACCTTCCAATCCACCAGCGCCACGGCAACTCCTGTTGTGCTTCTATAGGTCATTGAGTGAATCCACAACCTTCCAATCCGCCAGCGCCACGGCAACTCCTGTTATGCTTCTTTCTATAGGTCATTGAGTGAATGCACAACCTTCCAATCCGCCAGCGCCACGGCAACTCCTGTTGTGCTTCTTTCTATAGGTCATTGAGTGAATGCACAACCTTCCAATCCGCCAGCGCCACGGCAACTCCTGTTGTGCTTCTTTCTATAGGTCATTGAGTGAATCCACAACCTTCCAATCCGCCAGCGCCACGGCAACTCCTGTTGTGCTTCTTTCTATAGGTCATTGAGTAAATCCACAACCTTCCAATCCGCCAGCGCCACGGCAACTCCTGTTGTGCTTCTATAGGTCATTGAGTAAATCCACAACCTTCCAATCTGCCAGCGCCACGACAACTCCTGTTGTGCTTCTCTAGGTCATTGAGTGAATCCACAACCTTCCAATCCGCCAGCGCCACGGCAACTCCTGTTGTGCTTCTTTCTATAGGTCATTGAGTGAATCCACAACCTTCCAATCCACCAGCGCCACGGCAACTCGTTTTGTGCTTCTATAGGTCATTGAGTGAATCCACAACCTTCCAATCCGCCAGCGCCACTGCAACTCCTGTTGTGCTTCTATAGGTCATTGAGTGAATCCACAACCTTCCAATCCGCCAGCGCCACGGCAACTCCTGTTGTGCTTCTATAGGTCATTGAGTGAATACACAACCTTCCAATCCGCCAGCGCCACGGCAACTCCTGTTATGCTTCTAAAGGTCATTGAGTGAATCCACAACCTTCCAATCCGCCAGCGCCACGGCAACTCCTGTTGTGCTTCTATAGGTCATTGAGTGAATCCACAACCTTCTAATCCACCAGCGCCACGGCAACTCCTGTTATGCTTCTATAGGTCATTGAGTGAATCTACAACCTTCCAATCCACCAGCGCCACGGCAACTCCTGTTGTGCTTCTATAGGTCATTGAGTGAATCCACAACCTTCCAATCCACCAGCGCCACGGCAACTCCTGTTATGCTTCTATAGGTCATTGAGTGAATCCACAACCTTCCAATCCACCAGCGCCACGGCAACTCCTGTTGTGCTTCTATAGGTCATTGAGTGAATCCACAACCTTCCAATCCGCCAGCGCCACGGCAACTCCTGTTATGCTTCTATAGGTCATTGAGTGAATCCACAACCTTCCAATCCACCAGCGCCATGGCAACTCCTGTTGTGCTTCTATAGGTCATTGAGTGAATCCACAACCTTCCAATCCGTCAGCGCCACGGCAACTCCTGTTGTGCTTCTATAGGTCATTGAACTTGGTAAATTATCTTTATTTTTCAGGTTGTGGGTAAGGGTGCCTTTGGTGTGGTGAGTAGAGCAAAATGGCGGAACAAAGATGTTGCAGTCAAGAGAATTGAGACAGAGTCTGAGAAGAAAGCATTTATGCAGGAATTGAAGCAGCTGTCACGAGTCAACCATCCAAACATTGTCCGGTTGTATGGAGCATGTCGGGAACATCCAGTGCGTATTTTTTTTCCTTAAAATATGTTTTTTGCTTCCATGAGTCAGATTCCTAGAACTGTTGCCAGACACAGGATGATGGTGTGCACACTCCTGATGTAAACACCTATGGAGTGACAGCGACATACCTTAGAATAGATAATTGATGGAATAAATAGTTAATGTCCAGATTGTGTGAACACCTATTTAGTGACAGGGACAGACCTTAGAATAGATACCTGATGGAACAAAATATGAGTTTTGGCCAGACAGTGTGCATGTATGAACATATATTAAAAGTCAGACCTCAGACTAAATAACTAACAGAATAAAATAAGAATTTCGACGAGACATTATGACACTTCTCTGTAACTATCATTCTGTCAGAATCTTGTGAATCACAGATGCTAACTTTATGACACTTTATGTCAATACAGTGTTGTCTATAGCTACTATTCTGATGTCAGAATCTTGTGAGTGACAGATGCTAACTTTATGACACTTTATGTCAATACAGTGTTGTCTATAGCTACCATTCTGATGTCAGAATCTTGTGAGTGACAGATGCTAACTTTATGACACTTTATGTCAATACAGTGTTGTCTATAGCGTACCATTCTGATGTCAGAATCTTGTGAGTGACAGATGCTAACTTTATGACACTTTATGTCAATACAGTGTTGTCTGTAGCTGTCATTCTGATGTCAGAATCTTGTGAGTGACAGATGCTAACTTTATGACACTTTATGTCAATACAGTGTTGTCTATAGCTATCATTCTGATGTCAGAATCTTGTGAGTGACAGATGCTAACTTTATGACACTTTATGTCAATACAGTGTTGTCTATAGCTACCATTCTGATGTCAGAATCTTGTGAGTGACAGATGCTAACTTTATGACACTTGATATCAATACAGTGTTGTCTATAGCTACCATTCTGATGTCAGAATCTTGTGAGTGACAGATGCTAACTTTATGACACTTTATGTCAATACAGTGTTGTCTGTAGCTGTCATTCTGATGTCAGAATCTTGTGAGTGACAGATGCTAACTTTATGACACTTTATGTCAATACAGTGTTGTCTATAGCTATCATTCTGATGTCAGAATCTTGTGAGTGACAGATGCTAACTTTATGACACTTTATGTCAATACAGTGTTGTCTATAGCTACCATTCTGATGTCAGAATCTTGTGAGTGACAGATGCTAACTTTATGACACTTGATGTCAATACAGTGTTGTCTATAGCTGTCATTCTGATGTCAGAATCTTGTGAGTGACAGATTCTAAGATTATGCCACTTAAGGCTAATGCTGTGTCTGTAGCTATCATACTGATGTCAGAATCTTGTACCTGACAGATGCCAACGTTATGACACTTGAGGCTAACACTGTGTTGTCTGTAGCTATCATTTTGATGTCATAATCTTGTGCCAGGCAGATGCTAGCGTTATGACCCTTTAGGCTAATGCTGTGTCTGTAGCTATCATTTTGATGTCAGAATCTTGTGCCTGACAGATGCTAACGTTATGACACTTGAGGCTAATACGGTGTCTGTAGCTACTGTTGCATCACAGTCACCTTTAGTATGAACACCTCTAAATGGCAGATGGCAACACATTTAAATCAGATACATTTATACTGGTCAAATGAGTTTCTAGGCTGTGATGTATGGAACTGCCTTATTATACACGACTAGAGTCCCAGCAAGTCCTCATACATACAGATTACACCCGTACATTGCTGAAACTGCAGCAGATGACACTATTCAAGTTATTCGTTGACCACCATACTTAAAAAACTAAAAAAAGATGAGTAATGAACATTGATGAACATCTGTCCATCTCTCCTAATCAACAAAAGATTAATTTGCTCAGTAATATGAATTCTCTCTCTCAAAAGTGACATACACTAGTGACCGCCATATTTAATATACTTAATGGAGATGAGTAATGAACATGTGTCTGTATTTCCTAATCAACAAAAGATCAATTTGCTCAATAATAATATTAATTCTCTTGCTTCAACAACGACATACACAAGTGTGCTCCAGCAAGCAGACTTAGAAACCCTTTCATCTCATATGAAGACTGGATTCATTCATTCCTTAAATACTGAAGTTCCACTGTGCAAGCTTAACTGCACTTGGTGGAAAAGAAGAAAAAGAACTCGTACATACTCACAAGCTTATAAAACAGCCTTTTAGTGCTGGCTAAGGACCAGTATCGTGGACACAGGTAACCACATCGAACTGGTGCAAAGTAAGCCACCTGGCACAACAAAGTCTGAAGGAATAAACATTTGAGTCTTGGTGCCAAATGAAATGTAACTGCCAGCAGATGCACAATAACAGTTAACTGACTCGAGAGTCCTGGAACATCACAAACATCTCAGTGGTACAATTATCCTAAGTCAGAACACTTAATTAAGTTCAAGACACTCACAGCATAAAGCGACTAGACCACAATACTGACCAACACTAGGAACTTAACGGTCCTTTTAGCAGGACTTGCTCCAACAGAGTGCCTTCAGACATGGTCTGAAGGTTTAAACGTGTGTCTGAGACTTAATTCACATCACACGTTAAATTTCAAGGAATACGTGAATCTTACATTAAACACATTCATCAGGTCTGCTGGGATTTTCCTGTGACAAGTCTACTGAAGCATAAGCCCCATACATTTCTGCTAGACATATATACAAAAGTATGTATGCAATGGAAATAAATAAATGACACACAACAGCTATCATACTGAAGTCTGAATGCCAACTATTCACATGTGATCAAGTTGTATTATCTTAAAAATGTGATTACTTCAGCTGCTTTCTGCTTCAGGTGTGCCTTGTTATGGAATATGCAGAAGGAGGATCCCTATATAATGGTAAGTGAATGAGGATCTGGCCTTATATTGTGTTGAGGAAGAAAGTAAGGGATTCGACTCTAGTATGATGAATGCATGAGTGATAAGATCCATATATATATATATATATATATTTGAGTGAATGAATAAAGGATCCGAGTTGAGTTGGTTGAAGAACCCATATCACAGCACTAGGGGCATCCCATAAGCGCTCTGTCACCATCTTCAGCAGCCATTGAAGAGTTCCGATAATAATGGTGCCAGTAGCATTGTGATTAAATGTCCATTTTGCCTTTCCTCTGAGCCTCAAGTATCTACCAAAACCTCTTGACTCTCCCTGCTGCATTAATCTCACCAAACTGGTGATCCATCTGCTCCTCCTCATTGCACACGCTCTCCCATTAGGCACTAACCACGTCTGCCTTATCATGCATCAGTATTTCACCAAGTTTTGTAGTGCCTACCAGTCTGTTTTCGTGTTAATTTCCCCACACACCGGCGTGTTCCGGTGAAAAAATCCAGACAATACTCCTCATCCGTGTCCGCAGTGAAGCATGCCACTCTGCACAAAAGCATGCCTGTCCTGACCTTCCTCAACATGCTTTCTGAGTCAGTTACAATCACAAGGTGTGTGTATGTGTCGTGTTCTCTAACCAGCGGAAAACTGCAGTGACCGCCTCCACCTCCGTTCTTAAGCTGGATGTTGTGTTATCATATGCCAGGCTCTCCTGCACCAAACGTAGACCATTAACTTTAGCTAAGAAACCCCAAGCACTTCTTTTGCGTCTTGACACTGAACCATCTGTGTAAATAATCAAATTCTCTGAGCGAGCATTATCTTGAATAATTGCTGAATTTCTACCTCCGTGGCACCTGCTGGCCAGTCTCTGCATTCCCGGCTCAGTGTGATTATGACCCTACACAAGTCTGACTGTTCAGGTGGCACTTTGACCCTCTCCTCTTCTCGCCTAATTTTCTCAAGGATGCAAACCTGTCTCATTGTGTCTCTTGCCTGAGCCATCTATGACTTCCCTCTTATCAGCCACTGACCCTTAACTGCGCCCAGAGCTTCATGCAAAGAGTGATCTGTGTCTGCATCTACCTTGAAATATGACTTCACCTGCAGCACCTTGTGCCAACCTGCAACAGTCGGCAAACCAAGGATGTATCGCATACACACACCACTGGGGTGTCTCTGATGCAACCCAGAATGACCCACATATATGCGTTCTGTATGCGCTTTAGTTTGTCCGTCTGACTCTTTGAGGCGGTAAGCAGTCCCAGGCCATAATCAACCACTGACAGGATCAAGTGCTGATATAGTGTGAAAAGCATTCTCTGCCCTATGACAATTGCAGCCATAGTCTTAAGTGCACTAAGTCCTTTTTGGCATCTTGTCACACTCTCCACATGGTCCTTTAAGGACAGGCTCCTGTCAAATGTAATTCCCAGATACTTCAGTTTGCTCTCTCGACGTTTCTACCATTTGTCGTGAGTCTTGGTACATTAGCTCTAACGATCCTGTTGTCTAGAGAACACCACAAAACAGACATCTTTTCAGCGTGGACGACAGCCCTCATTTCTATCAACACTACGTCACTTTGTCTACTGTTGCTTGTAGCTCCCGGCTGTTTGTTTCCTCTCTTTCCCCTGCCTATATGCAAGTATATCATTTGCAAAAGTCAGTATCCTTTCAACTCCAGGTGCCTATAGGCTTGCAATCTTGCTTGTATACACAGAGCACAGGCGAGATGGTGGATCCCAGAGCAGTCCTGGGGCAAAATTTCATGGTTCTGAGGTCCATGAGCCCAGTCAGAGAGCAACCCGACGTGAATACAGGACAGCTGCAACCCAATTCACCAGCCATGGACTAACCTCCTTTTCCTTCAGATCAGTCATCACAATGTCATATCCTACCCTGTTATTAGCATCCTCGAGATCCAGTGAGATCATAGTTTCATGTCTGTTCTGGAACCCTTCATAGACGTCAAAAGCAAAAATGGCCACATTTGCCCACATGTCCTTTTATGGCCTGTAGCTTCCCAGACCTCTAGAAAGAAGCTTCTCTCTTTCCAAAAATTCTTGCAGCTTTACAGCAACTATTTTCTCCAAGACCTTCCCAAATGTGTTTTGTAAGGTGATGATTCTAAAGCCACTGAGCTTTAAATGATCCTTACTCCCTTCCTGCAATTCCTGAATTATTTTGTAGCGAAAACCTCAATGAATCAACAATTCAGATCATCTGGAACACACATAATATTTATTCTAGTTCCATACTGTGTAAGGTCTGTCTGCTTTCACCACTGGTTCATCTAGGGTTCTGACTGATGATCCCTCAGCTCAAATCGCACAGACACTAGATTACTTACTGAAGTTGCTTTATTCTACCTACTTGAAGAGAAAGCTGTGCAATAGTCTCTGAGTCTAATTTCTAATTGCATTTTTTAAATCAGCATCATTGTCTTATTTCAGAAATACAAGCTAATTGTTTTCTTAATTTAACAAAAATAAAATCTAATACTACTAAACTATTCATAAAATATTATTTAATATTTACTATTACTGTCGATTATTATTCATTACTGTTATTTTCTACCATCGCTGATCATCATTTGATGTATTTATGTATTTTAACCAAAAGCTATACATATTTCAAGTAATTTAATTTGTGGAAATATTAACTGCAATAATTAAATATTATTAATTGCATTTTTCAGAATTTATCTGTTTATTTCTTGGTCATAATATGTATTGATTCTCATAATAAATTTTGATAAACAACATTATTCATTACCAATTTAATTAAAATATTACCCAAATGTATCCTTTGGCGTACACATTCATTAAAAAAAAATTTTCTTTGCTGAGTGCAAATTGAATTAGTTAGGAAACAAGAATATTTTCTTTTATTTTAATTGTTGAATGTTGTAATCAGATATTAGCTTTAAATTACCTAAAATTTGAAAAGCAAACTCTGTATCAAAACATCATCATTGAGTGCCATTCCGGAGTGCATATTACTACTTACTACAACTACTACTACAAGCAGTCGTAGTTTTACATAACTGTTATAATCTATATTAATAAAAATGTAATTGTTCCTCTGTTAGTGGAAGCTAATCTCCTAAAGTTCTTCACTGATTGCTTTCAAATTTTGACACAGCATTGCATTCGAATATGCACATATTTTTATATAAGAGTCGCACAAAGCACAAACCGCATAGCTCCAGCAACGATCACATCAGTTTTTGTTTCGTTGCCGCCTTTCCAATGCAAGTTTTTTAATTCCGCTGGTATTATTTCATTATAGGAATCATTTCCAATGGCGGTGGACTTGAACTGTGTTGGTTGATCTGTATTTGAATTATTCTGCATGAAGCTGTATGAGATGATAAATTATTTCATTATGGGCACAATGAGTTGTTAAATGAAAATATGGAAAAGTAATTGATAAGTTCTATCATCACTGCTTACCGGACAGTGTTGGAAATTGAGCTGTGGCGTTTACCGTTGCGTTCATTTCATGCTTTCCCTGAACTTTAACTGTTGACCCCAGAAATCTGATAGTATTAGTGGTTGTTGTGGTTGGCCAGGTGGTTACAACGTCGGGTTGTCATGTGGGAGACCTGGGTTTGACCCCTAGTAAAGTCATAAGAGCTTTCTGTCAGGGGCACAATTGAACATCCTAACCTGAACAGTCCGTAGCGACAGCACTAGCAATGCCACTTCTCTGGCTCACGACGCCCCCCCCCCCCCCCGCCCCCTCTCCCCCTTACACTAATCTAGAAAGGTGGTAAAACAGTGTTTTGAGTTGTTGTGGTGCTGGTGGTCGTGATACTCGATGGGTGATGTGATAAATATTACACTGGCCGCATTTACTTCTTATTGCAATTCCTGCTACCCATTTTAGTCTTGGTGGATACAAATGCCAAGGACAATTTCAAAAATTGTGTGAGGAATTTCAAATCCTTCGGACAGGGAGAGAGGAGTTGTTATTGGATTGGTGGAGGGGGGGGGGAGAGAGAAAAGGAGGGTGATGATAGAAACTGTTAATGAAGAAGCTTAAAACATGATTTTACATTTTACATTTTTACTTATTTATATTTTAATAATGCTACCTTGGCTATTTTTATGCATGACGCAGTGTGTGGACAGTTCTTCACCGATTCTTTGAAATGTTGACACAACGTTGCATTAGAATACGCGCATGTTTTTACTTATGAGTGTCACACAAAGCAGAAATGACATAATTCCACTTACAGTTACATCAGCATCTTGATTTTGTTTTCTGCTGATCAGATTTCTTTTTCATTGCCGCGTTCCCAAGCTTTGACTGTAGACCTCTAAAATTTGATAGTAATAGTTGTTGTTGTGGTTGGCTGCAACATCTGGCTTTCATGCGGGAGACCTGGGTTCAACCTCCAGTAAGGTTTATAGAGTTTTTCTGTCAGGGCCACAAAAAAACATCCTAACTTTAACAGTCCGTGGTGACAGCACTAGCCATGCAGCTTCTCTGGCTCGTGCCCACCCAGACTAGTAAAACAGACAGTGGTGAAAGTTTTTTTTAAGTGTGCTGGGGGTGTAATGGTAGTACTGGTACTCGATTGGTGATATGGTAAATAGTACACTGGTAGCATTTAATTCTAATTACAGTTCCTGCTACCCATTTTAGTCTGGGTGGATACGTATGCCAGGGTCAATTAGAAGAATTGTGAAATGAATTTCAAATCCTTTGAACAGAAAGAGAGGAGTAGTCAGTGGATTGGGGGGGATGAGTGATGATAGAAACTGTTATCTGATAGAGCTTGAAACATGATTTTACAGTTGTCATTTTTGACTTATTTAAATTTCATTAACGCTACTCTAGCTACTCTCATTTTTTTTGGGGGGGGGGAGGGGGGGATTCATGTATTATTTTTTTTTAACGTACAGTTGTAAACTTTACTTTGAACTGTCTAAAAATTACAAAAAGCTTTAGCACGTGATAAACAAACAAAAATTTTTTTTTTAAGTCCTAAAAA